TGGCATTAAAAACACGCTCACCTTCAACGAAATTTCCTTTCCGAGGCTTTGTGTCAGCCCAATCACATATTGTGTCAATACTTATCATTTTATCGTAATTTAAAAACTTGGAAATTGCACGGTACACTATAGGAACTACGATAAATTTTCCCTAATCGGCGCCATGTTTTTATGCTCCTCCTATTTGACGGATTCCATATCAGCACAGGGCAAAGTAGTATTACATAAATGAAAGTTAGTATCAGCAATTTCTTATGCTGAAGTGTACGATGTGTTGCTAACCTATTTACAAATAATTCCTTTCAATTTTAATCATTGATTACTATACATCTATTAAAAAACCATAATGGCCGACATCAATGACAATACGACAACAATTGAAAACGGATGATGGCCGACAACTGCAACAATTAGAAAAGAATTACCATTATGGCCGACACTACGTCATAATGAAGCAATAAAAATGGCAGGGGGTAGGCGGAAGAACTAGTTACGTTAAAAATTTATGAATAAAATTGGGCTGGAGCCCCAATAATGCACAATCATCCAAAACATAATAATCTGTTGCGGAGAAGATTGAATTATTCTGCACTTTCGTCACGCATTAAGTACTTTTAGATTAATAAAAAAATGGCAAAAATTATATTTTGTAATCGAGTTTGCCCAACTTTGCCAATTAGCCGCATATCATGACTGGTGTTTACTGTTTTTGCCAGTTTTTCTAGTGAAACCGTTTTTACGTGCTTATTGTAATTATTTATATACTTACATACATAATATATNTATTTTGTTTCCTCTGTTAACGGAAGTACAATGAAAAAAGTAGATATTATAAAACACCATTATTACACACATACCTACTAGTGTAGATACATATGTTTATCAGTAGTTTTCTAGATACAATGGACAATTTTCATGTTTTATACAAGGTGTGTATGCCTTTAGCAGCTTGATCTCAGTTATGTGTTTGAAGTTTATGTAGAACGATAAAAATAAACAAGACGGCGTTGTTCAGTATATGTTTATTATTTTTTGTCTTTACCTATTTTATAATATGATCTACTAAAAACTTTAATAACAATTCTACACACAAAAAATGGGATCGTGTACAAGAAAAAATTCTAAGAAAGTTAGCTTCTTTAGCATCATTCTGACAGATACATTAGTATATTTAATAAAAAAATTAAACAAAGCCGAAAAAAGACTTCTTAAAATTTAGGAAAAACCAAGCATTTTATAAGACAGTTAAATCAAATACTAACATGCATAACCACACCCGCTTCTACTACAAGACGTGCTGAGAAGTTTGGCAACAATGCATTGCTTCGATGTGAGAGTCCTATTCTACGAGTCTTACTTGTTATTACACCCCGCTACACGTTGTTAAGACACCCATTACGATAAAAATGAATTAAATTATTAAAAAATAACTAACATTCGTTCATCACTGATAGTATGTGACTATTTAAAATACACTTCAACATGTAAGTATTAAGAACGCAAAAGAAAATATTATGAATTTCATCTTGATAGTTGTAATTTTATTAAGGCAAATTTCCACACCACCATTGAGGTATTATGAAGGTGCGTTACCTTTTTTGTGGGGGTTCGCCTATCATTCCATTAGAAAAAAATTAATTCCAATTTGAACGTTTCTAATTTACGGATTTTTGCAGTCTTACAGTTAGCTGAATTGGAATTGGACTGGCGGGACTGTTACTTTCTATAATTTATAATTTTAACTTAATCATTAATTATTGTATTATGTTTTCCACTACATATCTTTGAAAATTCTAAGGTAAAGGTCTAGATGATGGCCTTTGGAGGTGGGGGTGGGATCGAAAGAGGAGGTCTCCCCCACCACTGTACCATAAAAAGTTCGTGGCGGTCTCACCCCCATAAAAAGTTATGGGGGTTGAAAGTTGACTATTTTGACAATTTTCATACACTACAATTCAAATAAAATTCAATAAAACAATTATTTTCAAGCGGGTGGAAGTGGGGGATCGAAAGAGGGTGGTCACTTGAACAAAACCCGATAACCTAACCTAACCTACCCTAAAGAGATAAAGATATTTAAATAACTTTCTCAATATTTTTATGTATTTGTCATTAGTTTTAGCTTTGAATATTGTTTAGGAATGACTATATAAATATTTACATGCCTAGAAATGTATAAAAATTGGCATATTTATTAACTTTGAACCCCCATAACTTTTTATGGGGGTGAGACTGCCACGAACTTTTTATGGTACAGTGGTGGAGGTGACCTCCTCTTTTGATCCCCCCACCCATGGGAGCCATCATCTAGACCTTTACCAATTCTAAATAATCAGTATCATTTTTAATACTTTCAATAGTTAATTTTCCTAAGATTGTTTTTTGGTGTTCAGCCCGTAAAAATTAGGTCCGCAGAATTTCGTTATTACTTATTTCTTTAAGAATGGCATAAATGTGAAAAAACTATACTGAGATTATCGGTAGGAATGGAAAGTCCTTCCCTTTGTAAATAATCAAAATAAATATCTCCAACGCAATAGAGCCTTTATTGTTTATTATGAGCGAAACACAATTATTGCAAGTTACCTATTTACGAGCAAAATGAACTGAGAGCTTGATGATATTCTGGATAGGTGTCTTAGAACAAGGACTGGTTGCCCTGGGCGGAACGAGGCTGGTGGTGCTTGTAGGAACGGGGCTTGGGCTTGTCGGTACTGGCCTATATTCTTGTGGACCCGTTGTTCTGCAAATTTGGTCGTTTTGAAACAGCGTGTGTATCAAATCACATATCAAATCAACGAAATATGCCAAATGTCGGACGATTCAAAAATGATTTCATCTCAAAGCCTGTCTTCTAACACGTGGTTCTAATATCAAATAATTTTTGAAGTGCATGTATGTGTGTAGACATGCTTAGTGGAAACCTATAACTCCTCGAAAAGTGAGCGGTTTATTCACTTACAAGCAAAATTCAGTGCATAATTATTTTATCTAATGGGATGATAGAATTATTTGTGAACCTCCCACAGAAACGTAATGCATCTGGCATTATCACAATGGTAGTGTGGAATTTACCTTAATTACAATTATCCAGATGATACCTACTAACGCTTTTATGGTGGTGCATGCTAAGTGAGGTGTCTTGAGGGGAACAAA